GCGCAGAAGGAAAAGGAAGGAGAAAACAAGAAGAAGTCAGCCCCAGGCAAAAGGGATGAGAAGGAAACCAAATAAAAGAAATCCTTCTTCAACCAAAATGAGAGGACATCTCGTGAGAGGGACTCAGATAAGTTTATGAACTACGTACACTCCTCTGAATATGACAGTAAACCAAATCTTCTTACAGATCCAAGATGATGTGTCATTGAAATGGCCAAAGAGGATGATGTCCAATCCAGCTAAAAGATTTTGCGATAAGTATTGTAGATTCTATCGAGATCATGGTCACATTACGAAGGACTTCTTTAACCTTAAGAATCAGATTGAAAATCTTATTTTAATAAGTTAATTGCAAAGGTTTATTGCTAGAGACAATGAAGTCACTACCAACTGTAATAATTACCCTCTAGAGTAGCAACCAATTGGGGAGATCTGGATCATCTCTAGAGGGTTTGCCTTGAGATGGTGAATCAAACTCAACTCATGAAGCTAGCGCGATAAAAGCGGCCTCCCAACTAGAAGTGACCTTATAGAGTTGTTAAGAATTAAATACTGGAAGCATGCTAGCTAGGGACTCTAGAAGGAAGATAGCTCCCTTACATTTCACTTCCTAATAAAGTTTAATTTAATTTTTTTTTCTAATAAAGGGATGACTTCTCATGTTCAAACAACTTGGTGCAATGAGAAATTATCTTATCAGTTATTTATGAACAACTCTATGTGTTATGATTTACATAAAGTTAACAAGAAACCAAATTCTGAAAGGGAGAACAAGAATTAATGTGCTTTTGCGTTCTGACCAGCGTAGGGGGTTCTTTCATTATGGAGAACAAGAATTTGGAGGTTTATAGTCCTCCAATGAAAGCAGTCAAAGACACCTTATTATCCACCTCTTCTACCTACAACATCTCAGTATTCATGTCTTCAGTATTCATATGCTTTTACGAACTAAGTGCTAAAGACATGAATATAGAATTCTCATAAAATCTATTCCCTTATCAAAGGGATGAGCTAAGTGAATCTCGTAAAACTTATTTTCTTATCAAATGGACAAATTGAGTGAAGCTCGTCAAAATTATTCAATAAATATAGTAAAAAATAAAAAATAAAATGGTTGGAATCCAGCCATACCTCACTAAGAGTTGTTGACTGTGGGATTTGAACCCACGCCCTTATAAACCGGAACCTTGATCTCATGTCTGGGTTACGTTACCTTAGGGAAGTACACCTACGTACGGAAAATATATAGATATATATATAAGGAAATCTTCACCCCGGATACGTGCTCCGGGGCTCACACAATTCTTTGGAGCCTTTTTTCGAATCCTAGACTCTTGAAAATGCATTTTGGATATTTGTCTTTAATTTGGATTTTTGGACCTGGGAGGTCACCATGTGGATCTCAATGGATTTTTGAGTTCGAGAAAATTTTCCTACACCATTTATTTTTATGTGTTTTATATTGGACACCAGGATTTTTATTTTGTAGTTTTTACCTGTGTGTGTGTGTTTAGTGGCTTTAAAGTTACCTTGATTGAGGTATTTTCATAGTGTTTGCTTTTAAAGGGTCATGTGATAAGCATCAAATATTACAAATTCAAGCGCCTTTAATTGCATTGTTTAGTCTATTTAGCATGTTAATAAAGTATGTTTTATACAGTTTTATATTTAATTGTCATTTTCAGGGCATATCGTTTAAAATGGTGTAAAAGCGGGAAATTATTCGCTTTTTATGGACAAGGGAATTGGCGAGTTACGGAACCCGAAAAAATGGACTTAGAGCCTAAAGATTGTACTCAACCTAAGAATGAAGCTAGGCCTGGGAAGCTGAGCAAGAAGGAGAAGTCAAGACTTGAAGGATTCAGCCTTACGTCCGGACACACTATCCTAGTGCAAATCTTGCGTCTGGATGCCCCTCACAACCCGTGTTCATCAAATTAAGGATTAAAAAAATTGAAATTCCAGTAGCCTCACGAATTTGTGTCCGGACGCACAACCATGCGTCCAGACACCCTATGCCACAGCCTGCGAAGCAAGTGCCTTGCGCGAGTGCCAAAGGAAGCCTGGACACCATGCGTCCGGACGCACTTCCTAGCGTCCGGATGCAAGTCCCCAGATTCGAATTTCAAAAGAAATTTCAGTTACTTTTCTCTCTCATCCTCACTTGAATGAATGATTTTAATGGCTTTTTGAACTGATTCTGCTAGAAAAGGGATATATACACTTGTATAAGATCATATCAGAACATATCCAATATCAAATATCATTTTCTAGAGAGAGAATTTGAGGTTTCTAGAGAGAGAAAGTAAGAAATAGCTAGGATTCTTGAGTGTTCTTGGTTTGGGGCTACCATGGAGTTGAAGATGGAGTCTTCCTCTTCAACCATCAGAGTTCCTACCACCACTAGGGTGAGCTAAATCCCCTTCTAGGGGATTGAGGTTGCCTCGATTGAGTAATTATGTAATTTTTTGCAATGTAATCTGGGGAAAACTCTTGTGTGATGAAGTTTCATGAATAAAGATGTGATGTATAATTCAATTTGTGTTTTGTTTACATTTAAATTGATATACAAGGTGGGCAGAATATATATATAAATAGGTATATACACCATGTAATTATTGTCTTAGAAAGCATGATTATATATTTATACACTTAATATTTTCATATGTGACAATGAGAATTTATATTCATCAAATGGGTTTATTGGCATGATTTATATGAATTTAGATAGATTATGCCAAGTGAAGATGGACCGTACTACAACCTTAGATTAATGTAGTTAGGTAGACGGTCCGTGCCAACCAAATATAAAGACCTTGATAGGCCATACCTAGGGAAGATGGCTCATACCACACCCTAGTTTAGATGGATGAGTCATGCCAATCGCAGATGGGTTATGCTTAGTCTTGACTTACATGATTAATTTTCTAGAAAAATGTTATAGTTATTTGATATTTCTACACCTTGCACATCACACGTAATTGTATCCCCAAGTTCCTTACAAGTATACATGATTACGAGGTCGTGGTGAACTCAATTCTCTAGCCTCCCTTTTATTACTCTTTCAATTCAATTTACTTTATTTTAATCTTATGCAAACGACAAACAACAAATCAACCATCTTTTGTGACATTTACAAGCGAAATTAATCTTCGAAAGTTGATTACCATAAGTTTAGCAATCCTCGTAGATCGATACCCCTACTTAGCCGCTTTCTTAGGAATTCGTGCTTTAGTGTAGTGGTTTTATTATTGATTGCGCTCTAAGAGTCGCATCAACATGCGGGGCCCACTTATGACTTTTGGGGTCAGTATATATGTATAGAGAGAGGGAGAGAAAGAAAGAAATCATAATTTATCCCTCATTTGGCTAGAGCTTCTTCTTCTTCTCTATATTCCTTCCTTTTCATTTTGAGATATATTTCTTCAAGCCATGGTTTCATCCACCTCCCTTGGGATTTAGCCTTAGCCGTAGGAGAGAGATACGACGGCCTCGACAAGAGCTTCCATTGTATGGAATTTATTTTCAATTTGGAGCGTTTTGAGATTTTGGGTGAAAGCTCAAGTTTGGATTTGGAAAGGGTGGCAAGAGGATTAGTTGTTCTCCTTATTGTCCCCGCCGCTCCTCCAAAGTTGCATCGCATTTGGAGCATCTTCTTTTTGGTGTCATTTTAGGTTTTCTGTGACGCCCCAAATCTCATGATCCGATGCATCAACTAAGTAAATCCAAACCTGACCCAAGAACTCGGGCAACAAATGCAGAAGGTAAGGTCAAACAACCATAAATAAGCTAAGGGTAAATTGGTTATTTCATGATGAATATAGTAGATAGGGTGTGTACCATTGGATAGCTAGCTCGAAATCCTAAAATTTGGGCTCAAGAATGACCTAATTAATCTGGATTTATAATAAAAGAGATAATATGGCCATTTGAAGAAAGAGGAATAAATATGCACGTGTTTGTGATGAAAACTCAAGCATTGAAAAAAATGCTCAAGCTCTGAGAAAATGCTACCGATATTTGCTAGTTGAGCCATTTATAATAAAACTGGGCTCTTTCTTATCAAAAACTGATTCGTTGAAATCTTCAGTCATCTGTTATGCATCAACACAAGGCTCCTACCATTGTAGGGTCTGGGGAGGGGTTAAATACTTAAATGTACGCAACCTTACCTTTGCCTGAAGAGAGATTGATTGAATAAGCCATTAAATTCGAAATTTCTAGGTCTATGTGTGTCTAATTGATTCTGATAGGGACACAAATCTACATTATATAAGCAAAGGGGTAAAATCATAAAACCCCCCTCTTGTTTCCCAAAACGTCATATAACCCGAATTCTGATAGGAACACAAATCTGCATTATATAAGCAAAAGGCTAAAATCATAAAACCCCGCTCTTGTTCCCAAAACGTCATATAACCCCTTCAATTATCAAACAACTCCCTGAACTAACAAAAACTATCACGTTGCCCTTCTTCCGTGATGTAGCCGTTAAGTTGTTGCGAAATGACAATAGTGCCCATGATAGTATATTAATATTTTATTAAATTGAAATTAATTATAGTGTGAGAAGGGAAATTTTGCTATCACAAATTACGAGGTTATTTTGGTTAGCAAAATGATGCAACTGTGATTGTCACGTGATACGATCCCGTTAGTTTTAGTTGGGAAACAAATGGGGAGGGGATGATATGATAGACTTTTTAAAACATTAAGGGGTAATATGATAGTTTCTTTAGTTAAGGGGGTTAGTTGATAGTTTTTGAAAACAAAAGGGGGGTTTTAAACTTTAGCCCTATAAGCAAATGACAGTCATGGCAAAGCAGGACATTGTTTAAACACCATCAGCCAAAGCTCAAATATTTCAACATAAAACAAAACATCACCAATTCACAACTTAAAATGCAGCAATGAAGAAACTCCATCCTTCCCTTTCGAGGAACGGTGAGAGTTTATATTTTTGCCCTATAAGCAAATGACAGTCATGGCAAAGCAAGACATTGTTCAAACACCATCAGAGAAAGCTGAAATATTTCAACACGAAACAAAGCATCACCAATTCACAACTTAAAACGCAGCAATGAAGAAACTCAATTCTTCCCTTTTGAGGAATGGTGAGAGTTTATATTTTAGCCCTATAAGCAAATGACAGTTATAGCAAAGCAGGACATTGTTTAAACACCATCAGCAAAAGCTCAAATATTTCAACACGAAACAAAGCATCACCAATTCACAACTTAAAATGCAGCAATGAAGAAACTCCATCCTTCCCTTTCGAGGAAAGGTGAGAGTGAAACTCTTCTATAGAGGTTTCACGGTATATTTGGGGGTTTTCCTCCGATATCAACTCCTTGATTGGTCCATAAACACTTGAGGAACTTCCTCTCCTGATTGGTGGTCTGAACAGAGATGCAACTGAAATTCTTGGTTCTACATTTCTCGCCACTACTCTGTGATGCACACTCTTAAGCCTGTCATTAGTGATGAGCTACCCAAAACAAAACATAAATAAAATAAATCAATGTGATTCACTTTTTACCTGAATGCATATTTAAATTTGCGTCATCACTTTTTTTTGTAAGCAAAACTTAACATAGATTACCGACCTGCAAAAAATCTCCAATATTGACTACTAGAGCACCACGCTTTGGGGGAACATCAACCCACTGATTCTCCTGAAGAACTTGGAGGCCACCTACCTGGTCTTGTAGAAGTATGGTGAGGAATGTAGTGTCAGTGTGGCTGCTAGTACCCAAAGTTAGTTCTGGTTCAGGACACACAGGATAATAATGACCGAGTAGGACGAACTGCTCAGCACAATCCACGTCTTTCAAATGGTTGGGGTTGAGTCCAAGGGCCTCCGATATTAGTTCAAGAACAGTGTGTCCCAAACTCATTACTTGCTTTGAGTAATCAATCATTATATCACTGTCAAGTTGTTTAAAACACATCATATAGACAGTTATAAATGTTCAACTGGCAAATAAAGCAATTGCCATTAGAGAGTATTGTGTAATAAGTGACAGAACAAAAATGCTACAAAACCACAACATGTGTCTTTTGAGGTATGTTTTGTGCAGAACAAACAGCAGAGCATCTACTCACAGCAAAAATTACAATAAACGTAGGATTTTATAACAAAGCCTACAAATAAAAAGGAGGATATTTACTAGTTGATCAGTTTGCTTTAAAACAAGCTCACTGTATAATGGATCTTTAATTTAACTAGTGCCAAGCTCTCTTAATTGGCTGCTAAATTTTCTGAATGATTCTAAATGGATAACACTTTCTAGCTAATTAAGTTTTGCCAGTTGCATATAAAGTCTATAAGTCTGTTTTTGGGATTATATATATATACATTGCAAAATGCTATGTACTCAATTTTAATTCCGTCTTTCTTCATGTAGCCTTTTTAGTGTTTTGAGTTTGTCGCCACGTGAGTTGGTCATTGGCAAGGTTGAGGCTTCAGAATGTAGACAGAACAGAGTAATTTTGATCACTTCATGACCTTTAAGAACTACTACCAAGTAAGTTTCTTTAAAACTTTCACTACAAAATTTATTTGATTAACAGAACGAGAATGAACTCTGATTTTGCAAGCACTATGAATGTAAAAGAAATTCAAAAAAATAACTTAAAACTGACATAAATTGTGTATTCCACCAACCATAAACATATTTATCCCAATGAACTCTGATGATGCTTAATAGCTATGGGTTTTTAGGTATGTTTCTGATTTCCCCTATATTGTTTTTCTACAAGTAAAACTTTTTTCTCCAAGAAAGACTAGTTGAATCATTACAAAGTTATAACGTGAAGTGTGTTTTTGAGAAATTCAAATTAATAATATCAATTACACTAATTTATGGTTGGATTGCAGTCATCCCATTTAATCCAATTGGGATGTCCCGAATCTGACATGTCTATTTGGAGGAAGTAACATGAAGCTTAAAATGGTGGATGTATGATTTCATAACAAGCACACAAGAATTTCTAGAATCAATGGATCTTGCAGAATGCCCAGAAATTCTTCAATTAAATACTATTTTATTTCATTTTGAGTAATGAATTGAGTTACTAACGATCGTACCTGCAAACTGCAGGTAATTCATTGCGGTCCGGAGGATGAGGAGCCATGGCGCAATAAAAGGTGTCCTTCCAATCAGCAGCCGGCGAACTATAGAGAAGAAAATTGGACATATACAACACTTTTTTCTTGACATCCCTTGTGTAAAACTTTTTCTTCTCCACAACGTCTTGCTCATGAAATCTGCATATCCCATCTATCATTTCATCCAAAACACTCACTGGAATTCCATGATTGACAACCTGAAAGAAACCCCACTTTTCAGCAGCCTCCATGATTTCTCCGATGGTCTCTCTGCGTTTGGTTGCATCTCTGCTGACACCTTCAAGATCAATAACTGGAATACTGTACTTAGAGTTGTCGCCAAGTTGGGTATGAGGTTTTTGGATAAATATTGGTGGGATTTTTGTCAAACCAGCATCTACAAGTCCCTTGACACCAGCTTTTGTATCATCAAAAGCTTTTAATTCGGTGTTGCGGTCATAACTGGTATCACCTGGAGCCTGATACTTGACTGTGCTGCCATCATCTCCCTGTCTCTCTGTAGGCGTTGACCTTAGATCCACCGGAAGAAAGGCGGATTTGGAAAAGATGTTCATGTGACCAACAAACAAATGCTCCTCCTTTACCTGCCCAAAAAAAAATTAATAACAATTATTCATATATATATATATATATATATATATATATATATAGAGATAGATAGATAGATACACAGTAGTGTTTAAATACTCATGGTAAACGAGGAACAATATACTACCATTACTCGTGACCTTATTATCTAATTCAAGAGCTGACAATAATTATTTTAGGAAATTAATATTATTTTAATTAGCCATTAATTATAAAATGATTATATTAGATATATTCTTAAAGAAAAAAAAAAAAAAAAAAAAATCATGAACTACCATCACCCCACCGGCACTGTCACCACTACCCCGCCACCACCTCCCCCACCACACCACCTCCACCACCACCACCACACCGCTGCCACCACTGCTACACAACCACCAATGGTGGGTGGCAGTATGGTGGTGTTGGAGGTGGCACACCACCACACCGCTGCCACCACTGCTACACAACCAACAGTGGTGGGTGGCAGTATGGTGGTGTTGGAGGTGGCAGTGTTGTGGTGTGGTTGGGGGAGGTGGTCATGGCAGTGGGGGAGGAGGTGGGTGGTAGTGACGGTCCGACAGTAGTGGAAAGGGGTATAGTTAAAGTTTAATCAGATTAAAAAAAATTATTATTATTTTTTTTAAAAAAAAAGTATCTAATATAGTTATTTTATAATTAATGACTAATTAAAAGAAAAAAAATTACCTAAAATAACTATTGCTCCCTACAGTATCTAATACAGTGGTGTTCAATTGCTCCCTAGTGAGTAAGGAGCAATATACTCACTTTTACTTTGTCCTTCTCTCTCCTACTTTTGTTGTTCTTATCCAATTGTCCTTAGACTTAGAGCATTCGCACTGGCCTCCCTAGATTTTGGCTCTTCAAAAATGCCATTTCAACTTTTCTAAATGCCACATCAACATCTTTTGCTCTCCGAAAACGGACACTCTATTAGGCTCTCTCAATTTTTACTCTCCAAAAAAAATATTTAAGTAATTAATTAATTAATTATTTTTTAAAACTTTTTAATAACAGCTATATTTCTAACCATTATATTCCTAACGATTATATTTATAACCACTATATCTCGTGTACTAGAATTTTTATTATGTAATGGTTTCTTAAAATATGTAATGGTTTTTTAATATTAAAAATGTCACGCCCCAAACTCGGGGTCCGAAATGCTAACCGGGTCCTTACCCGAACCTGAGAACACCCAAGGGTAAAATGGTCAACTCAAGGTATGAAAGTGAGTGAGATGACTCTAAGTGAGTCATACAAGGTCAATATAAGTTTAATTAGTCATTTGGACCCATGCAACAAGATTCTAGATATAAGAATGATGATTTCAAAGATTTTTGGAGTAGTCTGCACTAAGGAGGCCATAACTCTCTCCACAGATGAAATCTATGTCTAGGATTAGTACCATTGGAAAGCTGACTTCGATCTGGTTAGTTTAGACTTAAGAATGACCCAATTTAGTTTTAAAATGAGGGAGTTACGGTCGTATAAAGGTCAGATCAAGGTGCAGAAAACTGCTCTCAGAATTTCACCATTTTAGGCCCTGTGCCCGAGCACAAAGGCAGATTTTAGCCTTGGTTTGGTTCTAAGGTGCCCCTTTGGTTGTATGGTCATCTCAAACCCTCCAAACCTGTCCAAAACATATATTCCATGGTCTACCTTGAAATGGCATCATTAAATATAAAATCAAAACATATAAAGATACAAAATAAAGCTTAAATTACACCCATTCATTGTCCCATTTCATGCATCCAAAACAATAGTCTTTAGAGTCCATACTTACAAGCCTTAAAGAAAACATTGTTACATTTACAAAGCCAAAGCTCACTAAGCTCATATATAGCATAAGTCAATAATTTACAACAATGAACATTTTTACAACAAAAGATGCCACAACTCGTAATCCTACATCCTTTTAAGCTTGTGGAGGAATGTCTTCTACAATTTCCTTTCCATGGCCTGAAAAATAGTAAGGAGTGAGCATAACGGCTCAATAAGAGATGCCTAAAATGCACTCCTTAATGTTTCCATGAATCCAAACAAAGAATAGCATATAGTAAAGGGGTCATGCTTGTTCGGGGATAATAATCATTCTACAATGCAATTCCATGAACGAAATGAAATGCAATGCGAATGGAATGTCCATGTCTCTCCCCATTTTCCAAAATTCAATCAAACATTTTCACAAAATTTCAATTTTTGCTTTCATTTCAAAACTTCAATCCCTTCATTTTCAAAAATCCGTTTTTCCCCAATGGTCGCGCCATGTAATGTATGAACAATACATACTACTAAATGTCATCTACACAAGGCATTTTCAGCTTCAAGTACCCCAACAATAATCCCTACTTAGAACACGAACTAACATGGCAGCTACTCAACCACAACAATAACCACAAGTTTACACAAAACAGCCCCATAAATGTGGTAAATTAGGCATTGAATTTTCAGTTTGTAAACATCTATAACACAACTACTATCGTTACTAAATTTCAGTTTTTGTACCCAAACCTAATCAACATTTAGGGGAGCTCAACTACACTTTCTAAGTACATAATACCCACCATCATAGGAGCTAAAATTTTTATTTTTTGAGCATCAACGACAACAACAATCCGTACCACAAAACAGTCCCACAATTGAGGTCATTCAAGCATAGGAATTTCAGTTTGTAAAACAACAAAAGCACAATCATGCTAATTACTAAAATTTCAGTTTTTATGTACACAACAAATCAACATTTAGGGGAGCTCAAATCTCAGTTTCTAAATACATATCACACACTATTATTGAAGCTACGAATTTCAGTTTTGGAACTTCACAAAACATGCTTGGAATAAAAGCTGAATTCTAGACAAGTTGGTAGCTCAAATTCAAATAATTAATTCACCAAAAACAAAGGTTGTAGGCTTTAAGAAACCCCCACTTCAAACCAAGAAAATCTCCACAAAACAGCCCCCAATTTGAAGGTCCAAGGTTCACAAAATGTCACCCAAGAACCACCAAAGGAAAGGAGAAGAAGAGAAGAGCAAAACCTTCTCTTGAAGCACCAACCAATCCCTACTTCTAAGAGGGATTTCGAAATTCAGCAATGAAGAAATGGGTTTGATGATTATATCACTGAATTGCTCTCCTCCAAAGGGTTGTTTTTCCCTTCTATAGCAGCACTCAAAATCCCTCTACAAAGCCCTCGAAGTTAAGCTACAAAAGAGAGCTTCAATGGAGGTAGGTGATGGAGGAAGGAATGAACAAGAAGAAGAAAGAAAAGGAGAAAGAAGGAACTGAGCGTGCTGTCCGAAAGGGTCTGCCAAATGAAGAATAAAACTGCCACCTATGATTATAGGTGTCATGCATAGGCTTGGTCAAAAGTTTGACCATAAGAAATGACCAAAATGCCCTTCTAATGCTACTAAACCACAACAATACCATTTCTATATCAAATACTAATTGTGACCTTACACCAATGATAAATAATAATTAAAACAGTTAATAAATGCTGGAAAATACTTTCGGGACCCAAAAATCCAGGTAGGGGATCCACACGGGCCTCCTAGGCTAAAAAATAAAAAAAATGTCAAAATGGTTCAAAATGCATTTCTAAAAGTTCTAAACTCAAATAAATACCTCAAGTCACTCTTGGAGCCCTCGTGGCATGCGAAACGAGGCACGAAAAATGAATAGTAGCAAAAATTGCCCGAAAATTCAGAAAATTGTGAAACAAAAAAAAAAAAAAAAAAAAAAAAAAAAAAAAAAAAAATTCTCAACCGTAATATTTTTCAATCAAACAATATTTGTAATATTTTAGTTTTTCACCATTTTCCATTTTTTAGAATTTCCTGTTTTTGCGAAGGCATTTTCGTCTTTTTTCGTTTTGCGTGTCGGACACCGTGGGATGTGCCAGGGGTGTTTGAGAGTTGGTTAGGGTATTTTCTTAAGCTTAGAACTCTTGGAAATGTAAAGGTTGTCATTTCAGCATTTTTTCGTTTTTCGGGTCGGACAGTTCCGGATGGGACCCGCTATCGGATTGTTGTGCACGGGGTTAGTGTCAAAGGTCCATTGCATATCATATACATTTATTTTATGCATAATTGTGTTGTTTAAATGTTGTGTGTGGTTAGAATTTAATTGGTTAATGTGTGTGTGTGTGTGTGTGTGTGTGTGTGTGTGTGTATGTGTATATATATATAAAGAAAAAGATGGGATTTTAATTTTTAGTGGTAGAGTCCACTCCCCACTCACTTTGAATTAGTGGCCAAGAGGGCACATTTGGTCTCCTTTTTTCCTCTCTCTCCCGTAAGCTTCCTCTCTCTCTATCTTCTTATTCATTTTCTTTTTTTTTTTCAAGCAAATCTTTAATCTTTGATTACTCTTACAATTTTGTGAATTTTTGGGTGCCGTTTGCTGCAAAACGAAGAGCTCATTGAGATCTACGCGTTGACAGGAGAAAATCATACTTTTAGCCACCCTAAGAATTTCAAATTTTGGGCATCAAATTAGGGGTTTTTGCATTCTTGGAGGAAGGGTTTCCTAATCCATTCATTTTTGGATTTTTGTGAGTTATTCTCTATAAAATTAACATGTAGCATGCTTTACTTGAATAGATTTCTTGTATGATTGCTTAATTGTTGTGTAATGAATTACTTGGCTATGTGTTAGTTGATGTATATATGAGAAAGCATGCTTAAATGATGATACTTCATGCCTAATTGTCTAAATGGTTAGATTTAATGATATGGAAGCATGATTAGTAGTTTTACAATTCCTTACAAAGCATGTATGTGGTGAATATTTAACTTATGAAGCATGAATCCACACTTGCTACGTCATTTGGAAAGCATGATGCATTCATGCATATCATTGGGCATGAAAATGGCAAATTGATTTGAAATGAAAGAAAAAAGGGTTTTGGGAAAAAGTTTTGATTAAAGGGTTTTGCGAAAAACTCGATCGCCGAGGGGTTACTGAGAGGCCGTTGCGTTAATGTGACCTAGAGGGAACTAGGGAAATATCCTAGCGTG